TTCCTGGCTGGCAAAATATATATGCTAACAATGGGCAATGTATGCAGCCATTTGTGCTGGCATTACAACTTAATTATACTGGGAGCCACTGTAACCTCAACTGCACTATTTTTGAATGCAGTTCCATGATATATTTTATTTGCTACTCCAAGATGATATGTTTCTAGTGACACATAAACACACAGACACATATACCTAATTACACATTGATATATGCAGGCATATAAATAGACAAGTTACTTATGTATGCATTTGATAAGTAGATGTTATAGAGAGGATAGATGATAATGATGATAGATAGATGGATAGATAGATATAGACAGATGATCGATACATAGATAGATAGATACCATCAGCCCTGAAATTAATGATTGAAAGCAAATCCTTGTCTTCAAGCAGGCCAGACCTCCTGAACAGAAGCTGGCAGAAGAGTATGCTTAGACAACACTCATGCAGTGAGTCATCTGTGTTTTCACAACATGTTTCTCCCCAGCACCCATGTCTATTTGTAGCCTGACAATAAAGGTCCTATCCAAACCATCTCTGAGCTGTCTGCCTTTAAAAGCAAGGACATTGTTCTCAGCTGACTCACTGGAGCTGTGTGTACTATGAAGACTAACCTGCTGCCTTATTTGAGAAGGATATGATCTAACTGCAGACACCCAGGTTTGCCCAATGCTTTCTGCAAGGTCTATGCTTAGAAAGATAAATGAAGGGAGAGAACTTGAATCCTTAAATAAGCTCATTACATACCACTACTGTACTGTGTAGGGACACAGAAAAAGGTTGCATTCATCAATAGTCTAAATAAAAGACACAAAAGCCTAGGGTTCTTACCAATTACTCCCCTCTCTCTACCCCCGGAACATAAAATTCTATCTACTAACACATGGTAAGCATGCAATAACATTTGCAAAAAAATAAATTCATATCTGCCATATGCCTATGAAATGACCTAAGACATATCACCAAATCCAAAAAATATTTTGTTGTCCTAATGCCAAGTCAAAAAACTGCCAGAGGATGAAAACATTCATAAGGTATGGTACACACCCTTTCAGTCATGAGATACTCTGCAACGTGGCAAACCAGCTCACTGCCTAGTTCTTAAAACAGAACAAAAGCTATTCGTTAATTTTTAGACCAACAAATATGCATTACTAACCACTAATTTTCTATCTTCCTTATTAATGTTTCTGCCACTCACTTGCACACCATCTAGAAGGACTTGGTCTTAAAGTATAGCTTTAAAGGGAAAACACTTCCTATACAAAAAAAGTAAAGTAAGTTCTTCAATATTTTCATTCATAGAAATCTTTAAAAAGCCTTTTTATATTCACAGTTTCAAAAAATTATCAATGGAGGTTACAAAATCTATTGATAAAACAAGTACAGTATATCCAAAAAATCCTCATGTGTCTGTATAACTTTGAGTTGCCAAATTCCCTGAATAATATTTGACAAATGTTTGGGGGCACTGCTAAACACTGCTGCTCTAACCCATTCATGCTTCTCCAGACATCTTCAGAACCCAGAAAACAGCCAGGGATTACCCAGATCTTATACAATAGAGGGGAATCACATGATACCTATTTATATTATACAACAAAGTCTACTATCCCAAGGGCTCACTCAAATAGAAACTGATTCATACAAAAGTTACCAAAACACACTTAGACAAACTTTTGCCCTGCTCTTTGATGCTACATTCTAAAGGTAAATCTGGGGTGGAGATTTGGCTCAGTGGTAGAGCACTTGCCCCAGTGCACTGAATAGTTTTATGTCAAACTGGCACAGCTAATGTCATCTGAGAGAAGGGAACCTCAAGGAAGACAATGCCTCCATAAGATCAGGCTGCAGGCAAGCCTGTAAGGCATTTTCTTAATTAGTGATTGACGGAGGAGGGCCCAGTCCATTGTGGGTGATGCCATCCCTGGGCTTGTAGTCCTGGGTTCTGTAAGAATGCAAGCTGATCAAGCCAGAGGGAGCAAGCCAGTAAGCAGCAGCTCTCCATGGCCTCTGAATCAGTTCCAATCACCAGGTAACTGCCTTGTCTGAGTCCTGCCCTGACTTCTAATGATAAACAATGATGTGTAAGTCAATAAATCCTTCCCTCTTCAAGTCTCTTTGGTTATGCTGTTTCATCACAGCAATAGAAACCCTAACTAGTACAACCAGTATGCCCAAGGCTCTGAGTTCAACACTCAGCATCACACACACACACACACACACACACACACACACACACACACACACACACAAAATGCTTAAAGGTAAATCTCACAAGAGTGTAATGCTCCAAAGAAGCATTAAAATTACACATAGGAAGTATTACAACATCACCCTCTCAACAAGAAGAATGTCCACAAAAAAATTCTTTAAGATGTTTCAGCCCAAGCAGACTTCCATATCTCCTAACAAAAGTTGGATTTGTTCTTAAACATCTACTCACAACCAGACAGTGCATCCCTCAAACATCATCAGAGAAGTTTCCTTGTTCAGTGGACAGAAATTAACACAGAAAGTCACAATTGGCCAATGTACAGAGCATAAGTCTCTATGGAGTGCTCAGCCATTAATGGTGTATCAATATACACCCATTCCTCGAAAGGCTTGAGAATCATCCAAGAAGAGGGAAGAAAGACTCTCAGCCAGAGGTAGAAGAACTGGAGAGACTGGAGCCCTCTGAAAATGACAAGAATGTTGAACTCCTGAATCCATAGCATCCTCAGTCGCCTGATTAGTACTAGCATTAGCTCAAGACATTCAGCAGGCTAGCATGGAGATAGGATGGCTCAAGAGTATCCATTTGAGGAGTTATTGACAGGGTATGACTTCTGGGGTAGGGAGAATTAGTTGTGTTTAAGGAAATGACCCCTAGTAGGCCAACCATGCTTCAATGGTTGGCCCTACACCCCTGAGTACAGAGTGGCACAAACTGGATTTAGTGGGTTATTTTCAATAGAGGTCATTAGTTGGGGAGTGGGGAGTGTATAAGCAGCAGTGAGGCTAGGAGTATTTGAGAAGAAGGGATACATATAATCAAAATAATATAAACTTCTGAAATTCTCCAAGAATAAAAATACTAAAACACAAAGGAAGAGCCAGTAAATATGATAGGTATTTAATGGTAAAATAAATATTCATAAACCGAAGTGGAGGGGGGTTAATAATCAGCTGGGGCCTTCATAAATCCACTTTTTAACTTGCCACAGATTTCTTTGATTTCCTCAACACATGGCTGCATGTGCGAGCTCTATGCTGGCCTCAAGGTGTTTCCTCAGTCATTTCCTTTCCACTGGTTTTCCTAAAAGATCCGCTTTAGTGAGCACTGTGGAGTCACCTAGGTGAGGAATAGCTGCCCAGCTGATATCTAGGTCAGAGTTTATGGAAACTGTATTACTGTCACAATTTAGTTGTTTCTCTCTGTCTTATGAATGGGGATATCCATGGCAGGGGTGTACTTAGGTTCTAATTCACAAACCATTTGGTCTTTGCAACCCATGCCTGGGGTAACACAGAGATTCATGACCTTTGGCCAGCAGAATGGTAGTTTTTCAAATGCTAACCAATGGTAATCCTTGAAGGTTGCATGCTTTCGTTGACATTTTGAATTTTAGTGAGTCTTTGAAAGTCAGAAAATGTGGCAGCATTAGATACACAACCACATGAGATGAAACAAAAAATGGTACTTGCCTCTTTCCCAGAAGCCTCTGCTTTAAAGGATGTCTATACTTCTCCTTGTGAAGAAGACATGTGGAGCAACCCTAGAACCCAGCTTCCCCAGACACTGTATACCCTAGGCACTTTTGAGGAGAAGCCATCAGATAACTTCAAACTCTGGTGCCATCTAACTGCGATGTGTATGAAGAGCCAAAGAAAGAACTACTCAGGTGACCCCATCAGCCACCACAAGCATGAGATGTAATATAAAATGGCAGCTTTACCTAATGGCTAAGCATACTTGACTTAAAATATGATTTTTCTTTTGGTTCTTGGTACCACAAAAGTGTCACTGTCTCTATCTTTGCATCTAGAAAGGACACTAGAGCATAAATATTTACTACAGCCAAAGCATAAATGTAACAAAAATAATTTCTGGGAATTAGCTACATTCACAAACCACGAAGCTGGCAGGCAGCATGTGTGAATGCCACAATGGGTTTAACACTAATGGGCAAGCAAATGGGAGGGCAGAGCTGGAAAGGGCTTCTTCAACTGAGGTTTCCCTTCACTGTATACTCAGTACCTAGAACAAAGGCCACTGTTGGTAATGCCTAGATCAACTTCAAGTCATTTTCTCACACATTGTTCTAACTGGGAGGGTATATGACATCTTTTCTCTAATCAACACTGAAGGTATTATTTTTGCAAGAGGAAGGCAAACACCACCTTTCATAACCAATAAACTGTGGTGGCAATTAATGCTATAACATGAACTCAGCCAGGCTCTTTACAGCTCAGCGAGAGACAGCCCAGGAATAGAAGAAACAATTTCATCTGGGATTCACTGAAGCTGAATCCTACTGGCAGGCATGCAAATCCAGCCTTGAGCAAACCACTCCATTGCTTGATGCATGGATTTGCTCACGTTAGAACAAGGGCAAAGAGTCAGGTAATCACACGTCCCCAAAGAGCGTGCTCGCCAAGTTAAACCAAACACAGCCCGTACATCCAGATTCTGGTAGCTCTTAAACCTTGTGCACCACACAGGATTCAAGCAGCTGAGACGCTTTTGCCCAAATAGAATTGTAGATCCTCATTTCCTCCCCTTCTTTTCCCCACTTGTGACTCAAGCCAGATTTCATCGAGCTATTTTTGTAATTACTAACATGCTGGAAATACAGCAGCGAGCCAGAAGCGAAGTAAAATGCAGCATCCAGCAAAAGAAAGAAAATCACGCTGAGTAACTGAAAGGCCATCTGCTGCTCGCAGAGCTACAGGGGTGAGAAGGACAATCTGCGCTGGACTATTTGCGTCTTCTCTCACATCAGACCCACCTGCATGTTGTCAGTGGCATCCCCGAGCAGTCCTCCAAAAGTGATGGCGTTGGTTACCGTTGCCAGATAAATGAAGAGAATTGCCGAAAGAGCCTGAATATTTAAAGCATCATAAAAGTCACTGGCAAAAAATGGTGCTTTCCTCTTTATGTCCTTAATTAATCCACCACAGAACCTGGGCAGGGAGAAAGCAAACATGTGATCAAGTAGAAGATAAACAGCCATCAAATTCATCAAGACATAATTCACTAAGCCACAGAGAATTTGGACTTCAGATGCTTGAGTCAATGACAAGATACTATATAAGACAGTCTCATTTAGATGAGACAGAAAAAAAATGCATGTGGAGAAATACATCTTCTTCTGTCTCTCTTTTTCAGTTACCAGAATAGGTCCAACATTCCCCAAAGATCGTCCAGTTGTTCTTTAGACGACAGCACTGAACAGATAAATTATAATTTTCCATTCTCCAAAGACAAACATGCAAATACAGTTCACATTTCATAAAGCCCCTTAAGATGTCACAATGTCATTTCAACTCTAGTGTCCACTGAGGCCTGTGAGATGTACACACTCAACCATTATTCCCTGCTGGGAAAACAACATTGAACAACACAGGCTCTGAAGCTCTGACCTCATGGAGCTTACTCTTGGGGGCAGAAAGTAGACAGTAAGGTAAGTAAGTAAATAAATAAAAATGGAGGAAAATTAAATAGAGGTAGGAATTACATAGTTCTAGGGAAGAGGTACTGGGAAATATAGACAGATGGCTACATTGAGCCTCTGAGAAAGTGAATTTGGAATAAGGACCCAAAGTGAAGAAGGCATGCAGGTGTGTGACAGGCAATAGAATGTGTTGAATCCATGTACCAGCCTACTGTTCTTCCAAAAGAATCTCACAAATCAGCCTTGCCCATGCAGAGTGTGACTTCTGAGCAAGGTACCCCTGTCTAAATCCTGACGTGTTACTCTCAGCCGTACATAACATCCTATTTCTGTATCCTGATATACACTGGGTTGTGTAACCACTAAATGAATGTGGAAAGGGGGAAGAAGAAAGAATAAAACGACAGTTTGATGCATTTCAACACATTAAATTCTATAACTCATATCTGAGCTATAAGTTAAAAATGATAAAAATAGTAAAAATAGTCTATAAAGAACTGTAGCGATGCATGATGTTGAGATCTATGATGGACCACATATGCGATGGTGGTCGCACAAGATGATAATGGAACTTAAATGACACTATCACATAGAGGCATCATTAGATATGAAAATATTCTCCAGTATAATTAATTCTCTCTTTGTATGTCCTGGTGACATGCTGGCATAAATAAACATATTCTACTGGGAGGTATAAAAAGAGCATATAATTACACACATACATAACTGTGTTATCAATTCAAGCATTTGACATACAATAGTTTTTAGTGTTACTTTACTGCATACTCCTTCGACATAAAAATAAGTGTACTATAAAACAATATGCCATGTTAAGCTGGCAATGGCCTCATACATGTCATCTTTATCTTGTCTTTTGACTATATCACGAGGCCACATTGAACATCTGGTTAATACCTTTAGATTTTTGTAAGTAAACTCTGATGTTTGTATGATTACCAAATAACCTAAAGACAGAGTTAAAGACCATATCCCATCATTAAGCAACACATAAGGTGGGGAGGTTTTTAATTCTTAATTCTATCAGAGGAAGGGAAATAATTTCTTTTTACTTCAGGAGAGAAACCCAAGGGAGGGTCATCAGCAGTGGGAAATTAATTTCAACTCATTCAGATTCAACTACATATTAAAATGACATAATTTTTTTAATCCTGCATGATTTCCACATCTTCACGAAAAGAGTATCCCACTAAAATTTTTACTTAACCCAAAATGGAAAGAGATTATCTAACAATGGAGAAGCAATGACAATAAAAGGTTAACTGAAGGTTATGGGAATGACATTCCTCACTGTGGGTCATGGGGATGGGGCAGTGGCCTACAAACCACACCTTTCCACAACATGTTACACACTTTAGAGTAAATGTACAGGGAAGGGATGGAATTATGAAGCCACACGGGAAACCTCATCAGTCTTCAGTCAGCCCTACCACCCATTCTCACCAGCCACAAACCTAACCTTTTTTGCATCATCCCATCAGTTGTTCCACTGGTCACACTGTCTACCTATCAGTCTCCTAGGAGATCTATGCCTTAGCCCCTTTCCTAACTCAGACCCCCATAGATGGTCTCTCACCTACTTTAGCATTTCACTTGAATGCTGTCCTTATCCACAAGGTCCACTGAGATCACTCAGTCTAAAAATATACTACTACTCATCACCAAAGTCTCTTTTTTGTCTTCGTTTTCCTCATAAACTCTTTGGTGCATTTATTTATCTGCTTAAGATTTCTCAAATCTCTACACAGTGAAGCCCATAAGGCTGGGCATTAATATATTGCTGTATCTCCAGTGCCTCTGACTAATAGATGTACTATAAATATCTGTCGGCTGAACAGAGGAACAAACAAGTAAATGAAATATTGATAGTGAATTCAGAACAAGGAAGGGAAATTTAGATCTAAGGAAAACCTTATCATGAATGGCAAAAGGTTCCATCAGTTACCGGCCAGTTCTCTGTAGTTCTTCACAGTCACCATGTCCTCCTCCTCCATGTCCTCCATCATGAGGTGTGTCCCCATTCATCTGAACGTTCTCTCCACCGGAGTACATATTCTTTCTAAGAAAGACAACGGGGGGGGGGGATAAGTAGAGAAGGGTTTCCTTCATTCATTTGCTGTTACAGCTGTAGTATGCTTATAGAGGCTTATCGAAGCTGTCTCAGAAAAAGACCATGATGTCTTATTCTCTGATAACAGACAATTCTTGAAGAAGTTCTATCTAGAGGTGAGACAAATGGCTGGGTGAACAAAGACTTTAAGTTACTGCACATTTATAGGAATGAAACTGTTTCACCTGGGGAATGACAGATTTCCTGGAAATGGCTTCTCCTCAATTTCTCTGCTAAACTGCTTAATCTGCTAAGTCTACAAGGGCTCTTCTTGAGTAAAGTGATCTTTCCACAGACACAGACAGAAAGTTCCCAAAACATCCCCCAAAGGATACCCATGACATTTTCTGACATCAAGAGCTGAGCTGAGTGTCAGCACCAAAGAACATCAAAGCATGTGACACTTATCTTACAGTGTCAAGTAAATATAAAGCCAAGGCATATCAGTAACTCATTTGAGGCACAGTATCTGCAGGGATCTAAGACTATCAAAACATGGCCTGGCCCTACATCTTTTCCAAATACAACCTCCTGAGGGGCTTGACACTCCCTGAATATTGCCAAGCACATGGCGGCTTACCTTTTGTCAGATGATGGTAGACTCTTTGGAGGTTCTATCCTGATTGCTGGATCCCATTCCCCAGGTGGAAGGACAATGACTTCGTCTAGGAACTCATCAATGCCAGCAATCAGGTCGTGCCTATCTTTTGCTTTGTAAGCAATGTCATGGAACACCTGAATAGCGAGAGATGTGCTGATTAGCCAAGCAAACTTTCTGAATGGCTCACAACATATCGCAGCTGAGTAATACAACCCACAGTGCACTCTGACATGCCCATAACTACACTCTCATCTTCCCCACTATTCAGTCTATTGAGGGGTAAAGCTAATGATCTCAGCATCTAAGTAGAGGCTTGAAGACATGGAATTTTAAGTATGCTTTGCTGTTAAAATTCTGACAATTGCTGTGAGAGCCAGATGAAAACATTTTCAAGATCCCTACTGAAAGCCATTCCCTGAATTAAAAATGTTTGGACAACTGACTATGAAAATCCAGTAAGACCAAGTTTATGCTATTAAAATCAGGATAAGACACAATGCTGTCCTCTAACAATGTGAGCTGTTTTAAAAGAAAGAAGAAACCCGAGTTATATTGGCAGAAAGGAATAGGTAAATGCTCACCTCCCTACCTTCTAGCAAGAGGATATCTAACTCACCAAATATAGTATAAGGATTTGAATGATAAATGCCCTTCATTGTCTTGGACATTTGCGCTCTTGGTCTCCAGTTGGCTGTACTACTTAGGGAAGTTTAGGAAGTGTGCTCTTCCTGGAGGAAGTATGCCACAGGAGGTAGGCTTTAGGAGCTGAAAGTCTCACTCTACTTTTAGTTTAGGCTGTCTGCTTTTGCTTGAGTTTGATGATATGAGCTCTTACCTTCCTGTATCTGCCACCTGCCACCATGCCTTCCCATAATGGTGGCGATGGATTCTTATCCCTATGGAGCCATAAGCCTAAATGTTCTCATTTTTCTATAAGTTGCCTTAGCCATGGAATTTCATAACAGTGACATAACTCATACAGACAGCAACAGCTTCTTGTCTTTTGTTCACATCAGAGAAGAGGTTTCAAAGTGGCACACAATCTCTTTTTTGAGCATCCCATTCTTCTAATTGAGCTGATCTGAAGGTCTTCCCAAAGTCAACTTTCTAAGTTAATAGTTTAATCATCCAGAAGAAAATGTGGCACCTGTTCAACACTCTCAACCTGTGTTAATTCTTTCCACTAAATCACTTCTCCTAGAAAATAGTTTTGAGAACTGTCAGACAACACTGGTTTGGGAGTTCTGGAGATGAGGAGAAGACAACACACAGGGAAAGGATTTCCTCTGCTGCAGATATAGCTCTCTCCCCTAATTTTCTCTGGCAGATAAGAGTCAGAAATATACCTCCCCAGCCAACCTTGCCAGAAATATTGGCAGTTTCAACCAATGAGATGTAAGAAAAGTAAGGTTGTAAAATACCTGTCAAAAGAAGCCCTCATCAATATCAGAAAGACACTCTATGTCTATTACATGCAGCCTAAAGCATCCCCAATTTATATTACAAAAGAATATTCAAAGAAAGTAACTATAAACACACAAAGTTGAATAAATCAAACAACTAAAATGAGGAGAATAAATGTTCCCTGAGAGAGAGCAGAGTTGTGCACCAGCACTCTTGGACCCAAAAGAGAGCAAACAGCTGAGCAACAGCCATCCAGCATTTCTCTCCCACAGAGGGACAGAGCCTCCTACTCTACACTTAACAGGAAAAACTGACCAATTGGCCCACAGTGCAAAAGTAAAATATTTGAGAAACAGCAAAATAGAAAGACTAGAAGGCACAACCTGATGCTCCCGTATTCCAATGGCATTTCTTCTACTATAAGACTGGTCCAGAGTTTCATCATAACTAAATATGTCTAGTAATACTAAAGCTACTGTAAGTGTAGATGAAATGTCAGCTCCAAAGCACTGAATAGTAACAGTACCTGATGCGCCATAGATTGGCCTCCCCACAAGACATAAATCATAAAAACAAATACATTCAAATACCTAACAAAATGTACCACCTACTTTTATTATGCATTGTTTCATAAAAGTCATCATTTCTGAAATAATACAGTATAAGGACATATGAGTTCAGAGAATTGATAAATTAGACATTTTAGCAGATAAAGTTAACACAATGACTTTGAACTTATTCAGTAATAATTAAACATCAGTTTTAACAACTGAAAATACATAAGGACTGTAACAAGGTACCTGCATATTGGTCACTTCAGACAGTAACAATTTGTTGGTGCCAAGAACACTCAACATCCTCTTTGTCAGCTAGTTTTGCAATATACAATTAATTGCTGTTAGTCATCATTGCTCTACTGTGCCTCAGATTATTCCATAGTGTATAGCTGAACTAAAATATCACACAGTAACCTATAAGTAGGAAAACTGTATGATATTCATTTACATTAATTTTTAAGAAACTTGGAGTATTTTCTAAATATTTTGCTTATAAAAAGAGAGGGAAATGCATTTTGTATTAGAATCTAACACAAAAGCAAAATGCATGCCTTGCTTATTGGAAGCTGTTCTACATAAGGAAGGTCATTTTCCACAAATGACTGTATGTCATTCTGTGGAGACCCTTGTAGCCAGATAATTCTAACTGAATAAACCATGACAGTCAATTCACAGTTTAAATAGACACCATGATCCCCTTGTCCTAGTTCCCTACCTCATCAGACATCAAGGTGGCAATGGCTCTTCCAAACCATGACAGTCAATTCACAGTTTAAATAGACACCATGATCCCTTTGTCCTAGTTCCCTACCTCATCAGACATCAAGGTGGCAATGGCTCTTCCAATCTCATGGTAGGACTTGGCTTTCCCCTTTGGACCTAAGAGAATGAACAAGAACCTAATGGAGAAGGAGAGAAGCAAAGGCTGTAATACACATTTCATCAGACTGAGAAATCATCATATTAATTCATTACAAGCTCAGCTGTAGAGACCATCTTTATCATGCATGTATACCAGCAAGTGCATTCATGTATGTGCATGTGGAGGCAGCAGGTCAGGTCTTCATCTGCACTTTTAAGACAGTCCCTCACTTCATCTGGAGCTCACAGATATATCCCAACTAGCAGCCCAGCAAGTCCCAAGGATTCTCCTGTCTCTGCTTGTTCAGCTCTAGAATTAGAGGTACACTCCACTGCACCTGCATTATTACATTGCTGCTGGCCATCTGAATTTGGGTCCCTGTGTTTCTGATGCAACACTTTACAGGACTGAGCGACCTACCCAGCCCCTACAACTCATCTTTAAAACCAAGAAAGATGTAATGTTAAGGGATCAGAAAGATATTCTTTCACACTACCACAAGGTGTTACTGAGTTCATTTGAAGGTGTAGGAGAAACCTAAAAGCCTTCTTCATGGAGAAGGAAAAGGTTTATGTAAGTACTTCACAAATTGCTGATCTCTCTGTTTTAAACTCCCACTGTCTTCATTTCTACTGACTTTGGAATTGGTGGTGCAAGTGTGTTAAGGCCATTAACTATGAAGACTAAGTACATGTTCTCATTTCTCTGACCTTCCTGACCTAGGCCAGTATGGTCAGTGACAAATGCTCTTCTCCATTTTTTTTTTAGGAAATACTGTTATTCAGCTGAGTGGGATTCAGTGCAAACCAAACCTTCACAAGTAGACCACACACTGATAAGAAGGAGAAAGAAATATGAAACAAATTAAAAATAAATAAATAAAGCACCATTCACAGACAGTTAAAAGCCCATTGTGGATTCCTGCATTTTCTTTTCCAAATTTAATTTCTTGATAACATAAAAAGCATTGCTCCAGAGCAAATATGTCCTTAAATTAGCAATGATGAACCTGTCACTTTGGAAGGAGTCCCTTCCTCAACATGAAGGTAAAGTTGTATGTCTCCACTGAGAAAGAAGGAAACTGACAAGTAAGTAAATAAGAAAAAAGGTGTACAAAAGGTGACGTTGGATAAATCCTTGCCTTGTGATTGCTCATGTCTTACCTAACAGGGAAAAATGAATACAACACATACAATGGCATCATATGTTTCCACAGCTCCCAAAAGCCTGCAAAGCACCTTCACCATCTTATTTAAATTCCTACACAATCCTTCTGCAAAACGAAGCTCAATTCTGTTTGACACTAAGGAATCTGAGAGTGGGGAAGACGGTAGGTGAGCCTAAGGGTTGTGCTTAGTAAAGGACAAGGCTGAGGACAGAGCATGTGGCCTTGACTCCTGATGCTCTGGTTCAACTGACAGAGTCAGAACAGCAAAATCACGAGAGGGCAGACTGGTACACAGGCATCTTACACCCCACTCCTCCCTTAAAAACTCTACACACACACACACGCACGCACGCACGCACGCACGCACGCACGCGTACACACACCTCTTCTGATGCCCTAGAGCTGTGATTCAACACATAAAAGCTATCCAGCGATCATTTCCATAGGTCCCTCCTAGGAAAAGAATTGTGGATTCTTACTTAGACAAAAAAGAATAGACAAGATTTGGTGGCAATAGGAACAGTTTAGCAGCTTACTTCGCTGAATTTTTCTCTTATTTATTTAGTTCTCTAACGAAAGAATAGACAAGATTTGGTGGCAATAGGAACAGTTTATTAGCAGCTTACTTCGCTGAATTTTTCTCTTATTTATTTAGTTCTCTAACTCACTTTAAAAAGAAAAGGATTTAAATAAATGTCACCATCGATTCCAAAATGGTCCTAAGCATATGAGTACTTTTCTTCATTTGCAAAATTCATTCCAAAGAAGATAGGAAGAAAAAAAAAGGAACAAGGAAGTAAGATTGTGGCAAATGTTCTTATAGGTTTAGACACTCGGATTTTGTTATCAGAATAACCATAAAGCCATCCAGAACCTGCCCTGTAATGTAGGCTAGACTCCCTGTTGAGGGTTGCCAGAGTGAATAAAACAGCAAAGGCAATTGGCAACTCTGAAGCCTGCTCAAGGATGAAAGTGGTCACTATTAGAACTGCACTTTAGTCTTCCAACACTTCCACGGATGCTTGGGTTTTTCTCCCCCTGAAGATAAGACTTCATGTGTAGCAATGAGGCACCACAAAGTCCTTCTTGATAGCAAAGTGGTTTGTTTTTGTTTTTTGGTTTGGGTTTTGTTGTTGTTGTTGTTATTTTTGTTTTTTTGGCCTAAAGGGAATGGTAATTGATCTTAGCACAACACATCCAAAATTTTTTTGACAACTAAGGCAAGGTCCCAGTAAGAAAAAAAATTTTAAAAATTAATACTGGTTGCATTTGCCAATTCTGTTTGCCTGTCTCTAAAGCACCATGATTGGCAGTTTTAGGCTAAATGGGCAGGTGTAGTAACATAAAAGAAAGACATCTTGACACTGGTGCCTTTGTTTATTGGATTTATCTTGCCTTTTATTGTTTCCATGCATCTAAATATTAATGTTCCAAATGTGCAATCATTCAAATCTTTTCAGGGCCACATTGCTCCTCTCCAAGTCCTCTCCAGTACCCCCATGTGAATTCATCTTACAGAAACACCCTCGGGATGTGCATTATCAGCTTGTACACATGACAATAAAAGCTAAATAAACATTGTGTTGTCTGTGAGGAAATACTCTCGATCACTAAAGATCCCCAAACATTAAGTTAGCCAGAGGATAGGTAACTGTTCAAGACCTGACAGAGTAACGGGGCTACCAAGTCAGCACAAGGGCATACGTTTTCTATAAAACATTTAGTGTTTGGTCTTTGCTCGATAATACCAAAGAATGAAAGGAAGTAGAACATTAGTGGAAGCCATAACACATACTATAATGATAAGCCAGAGTATGTGGATTATATTGGTTCAATAAACCAGAAGGAAATGTATCTAGGTTAAAATAAAGACATTTCTTCACTATAAAAATGTCACCAAGTGCCAAGTGGAAACAACATGGTGACATAAGAAAAAGTGTTCTGACTATTTCAGTTAGGAACAGTTAGTTCAGAGATCTACTCCCTGAAACCATGGTAGAAGGAACTCTGGGGATAGATGTGCAACAACGGCATCACTGTAAGTTCAGAGTTTCAACTGTGGAAACAGAGAAGTGAAGCAGCTTCTAATCTACTGCACGGTTGCAATGGAGATGGGGAGATGCAAGGCCTGAAAGCCAAGGCTCCCTCTGCCTAATGCCTGCTCCCCTTCCACCCTCAAAGAAGCAAAAGCTGTTACAACTTTTACGATGGACGGACATCCTGCCAAACTCAGCTTTTATAATGCACTGAAAACTCCTTTCATGACACAAGCTGGTTTTTGTCAATGGACAGCTGTTATTTTTAACCAGAAGCCTTTTTCTTTATTAACAAATTAAGAGTAAACATCACATTGGTGTGGCTGGAAGTGAACAGTCCATGTTGACAGCTCAGGGGAGGAAAGTGAACTCATGTTACTGGGTTTTTTTCTATTCATTTAACGACTACAATTGTCAGACCTAGACTTTATAATAGTTCCTAGTCGTCGCCAGAAGTCCCCTTCCTACTTTTGTGAAGGTTTTGTTTGTTTGCTTGTTTGTTTCTTCAGGTAACTAATTAAGCCTGCAGAGGGTGCCTCTGAAACACTTCACAACAGAAAGAAACACACGATGATTCATGTCCAGAACCAGGGGCCTATACAAAGTAATTATAGACACAGTGAGCACAGTATCAGAAAAGAAGCCAGCCATCCTAAACCACTAGGTCTTTTTAGAAGGGACACCCCCCCCTTCCTCATAGATCACAACTATTTCTAGAATGAACCCAGCATGTACTGATCCCTTACTACATGCTCTGAAACATCAGTGAACCAAATAACCCATTATGCATAATGAGCAGCTTTGGAAGATGTGGCTAACTTGCAGCTTAACACACTGATGAAGACCACATCCCATCACTACCACCTTGCATGTAGTGCAGGACACAGACAGAATCCAC